AATAATAATAAATCTAATCAATTACGACAGAGTTATATCACGTCTTTTTTTTTTTTTTTCTAATCCATTTTTTCTTTACGTTTTTGATTATCACGTCGATCACAACATGATGGAATTACACGTACCTGAAAACCTTTTTCCTTCTCTCTCTCCTCCCGAAAAAAGTGGGGAGGGGGGCGATGATTACAATTAAAAGTTTTCGGCACTTTTTGTAATTTCAAAAAGAAAAAAAAAGTAATACGTGAAGGATTTAAAAATTACCCGATTAAAATTATTTAATTTTATTGAAAGAAGGGGGATGAAAAAGAGAAGGTGGGTGGGGGAGTGTTGGAGTTGTAGTAACACCTCAATTATCCCTGGTTAACCCCTATCGTTCCCACTGGAATTTTTTTTTTAATTCTGGAATTTACAACAATCGAATTAAGTTATGAAAAAAAAAAAAATCACAAAATTTTTTTTTTGTTAAATTTGATTTATTTTTCAATTTTTAATATTAAAATAGCAGAAGACACGAAAGGAGGGGCACGAGTTTAAGAGAGGGAGGAGGAGGAGAAAGGGGAGCGAAGGGGAGGGGGATGGAAAAAAAGAGACGAAATTACATAATCACGAATCAAATTTATTTTTTATTTTGTGTGTAAAAAAAATTTTTTTTTGACATTTTCCGTTCGTTTTATATTCAGGTACGTAACACGACGGTTTAATTAGTTTGATACCTAAATTTCTTTTCTTTTCTTTTTTTTAGACTTTCGTGACTACTTTAAAAATTAATTCGACCCAAATTTTTGAAGAAAAAAAGAAATCTTAATGACCTTTAAAAACAACCCCCCCGACACATCCATAATAATTTCCAAAAAGAAAAAAAAAGAACATTCGATGAAATTCCAGGAACGATGGATGATCATTTGGAAAATTGCCCTTCCTTAATTTTGTGTTCTTCACTTTACGTAATTTGAGTAAGGGGAGGTAAAAGGGGGACTAAGGAGGGGGAGGGGGTTTAAATAAAATTTAATAAAATAAATAATATAAAATCGCAATAAGAAAAAAAAAAATCAATAAAAATGGCGCCTTAAATTTTAGCAATTTCCTCCAATAATATAAAAATTTGTCTCGAAATTATTTAATCCTATTAATAATCCTTTCGTTTTTCAGGTTTTACAAAATATTAATAATATAATAATAATAATAATAATAATAATAATAATACCTACTTTCCAAGGTTGAAGCATTAAAAAAAAAAAATTACCATAAAGATTTTTTTTAACGATAAAAAAAAAATTTTACAAACGAAAAGAAAAAAAAAAAAATATTTAAAAAATCATACAGGTTTTATTATTACGTTCAGGTACGATAAACCGATTGATAACAAAAAACATATTTAATAAAAAAAAAAATTATTCTTATCAGTAAGAGTACTCGTTTATTTTCGAGAAAAACGGGTACGAAATTACAATTTTTATAAACGACAGTTTTTTTCCACTTACAAATTATTATTATGATTATTATTATTATTCCTTTCACTTCTTCCCGCCAAAAATGATATTCGTACCTTACGAAAAAAATAAGTAAATAAATATATAATTATTTATTTAAATTTTCTTATCAATCACGGAATGAAAAAAAAATTTTTCAAAGTCGAATTTAATCGATTAATCGATCGATCTACGAAAAAACAAAATGGCGTCGAATCGTAAGGTCGAATCGTAAGGTTGTTTTTATCGTTATCATCCAAAGGTTTATGGTCAGAATTTTTATTTTTTATCAAGTTAGTTAATTAAGATTTATATAAAGAAAAAAAAATGAGATCAGGTAAAACAGGTATTCATTACGTCGGAGTCATTAAAAAAAAAAAATGGCGGGAAAAAAAAATTGTTTGTCAATGTTTTTTTACCTTCTGGCAAATTTTTTTTAAAAAGAAATTTCTTTTTTTTCTCTTTTCTCCAACCGCAACACCCCTCCCTCCTTCCCTCCCCCTGCTTCTACTCATTTCCTCATCAATTTTTCGAACGTGAAATTATTAAAAAAAAAGTTGTATTGATTTATTTACTATATAATCGAATAAGTGAACTCGATTCCTCGTGTTTCCCCCTCACCTCCCCTTCCACACCACCCCCCAATCTCCACTTCCCTTTTAACCTCCTTCGAAAACTTTAAATTTAATTAATTTTTTTTTTTTTTTTTTTTTTAAACGAGTTTTTTTGAAAAAAACTTAAAATAATAATAATAATAATTTACGTAATTATTTAACTAGAATATTATTTATATTTAAATTATCGACCGGATTTCACACGCACTTACGCACGCACTCACTCTCGATAATTTTCGAATTAAAATTTATTTAAAAAAAAAAAAAAAAAAAAAATTATTAATTACTCTATGACCGAATTCGTATGAAAATACCCCAAAAAAGGGTAGGATTATCAGTCTCTCCCCCGCCCCCTCCTCCCGGGAGCCCGATTACGACAAAGGGTTCGAGGATTCATTCGAGGATTTATCCTTAAGGAATCGGAAACCTGGAATAAATTCCCTCCCCCAAAAAAAAAATAAAAAAAATCATATTTAATCGAACAAAAATTTTTTATTTTATTAATCTTATATATTTATTCCGTCATTATCATTATTAACAATAATAATAATAATAAAAAAATATACATAAAAATCATCTTCGATATATATATGTATGACGTATTTCTTTCTATTTATATACTAATTTTTTTCAAAATTATTAAATACAATTTTTTTATACAAATTTATTTATTTAATATTTTTTAATAAACAACAACAAAAATTATTATTTTTTTTGTTATGTACACATAAAATATTTATACATTATTTATACACAAATACATTACATGTTATTTATTTATTTATTTATCTTAATGAATTTTTAATTATACGTACAAACAAACAAACGAACAAACAAAATTAGAGATCAAAACAAAAAAAAAAAAAAATTTTTTATATCACTGAAGAAATGGCACGAATACAATAAAATTTATTTCATTCATTCATCATTTTTTAATTGCCTTAATAAAAAGTAATAATAATGATAATAATAATAATAATAATAATAATAATAATAATAATAGAAACAAAATAAAATTAATTTTATCAAAACAAAGGTACAAACGAGTAGGAAGAAAAAAGTCAAAAAATTTCATAACAAATTTTTTTTTTTTTAAGGCACTTAATTCAAATGATATTATTATTATCATTATCACTATCATTATCATTATCATCATTATCCTCATAATTCAAACCTTTTCCTCCATTTTTGTGTTTGTTTTAATGCATCAAAAAAAAAAAATGCAAGATAAAAATTACATGGAAACCACAAGAAAAACATTTCGATCGATTAATTTTTTTTAATTGCTTAAAATCGATCGATAAATCGATAGTATGGAATCTTAATAATAATAATAATAAAATAATTAAATTTTTTTTTTTAATTACACGAGGAAAACGATTTAAAAATGATTGATTTTTAACGACTCTTAAAAATTTTCTTTTCTTTTTATTTATTTAAAAAAATAATAATAATAACAAAAAATGAATATCGATAATAATAATAATGATGATAATAATGATTAATTTTCGATCATGGAAACGAATAAAAAAAAAAAAGAAAAAAAATTATTTAGTTTGGCACTCTGAATCCACGAAATTTATATGTCTCAAAATAAAATGATATAATAAAATAAAATAAATCTAAAAAACTTTTTTTTTTCCTTTTCCTTTTTATTTATTTATTTTTTTACATTATTTATTTATTTATTTGATTGTTTTTTTCTTGTCAAAAATGATGAGTACGTAAATACTTTAATAACGGCAGAAGAAGAAAATTAATAATAAAAACAAACGAAAAAAGTTAACGATAATGACGTCATCAAATATGGCGTACAAAAATTAACGGATTTAAATTTGGGTTAAACACATTTCACCGATTAATTAATTAATTAATATTAAAAACGTTAAAGGATTTAAAATTATTACCGCGAAAAATATTATTACACCAATTTTACGCGGATGCAATAAAAAAAAAAAAATTACTCAACAAAATTGACTCAGACGTAAAAAAAAAAAAAAAACAAAATGGCGTTTAAAAAAAATGGCGCTTTTTTTTACACGCGCATTTTTTTTTTTTTTGGGGGGGAAAGACAACGTGACAGTGAGATGATTGTGACATTAAATAATAATTTAACATCTTTATTTTTTTTTTAAATAAAAAAAGGTTTAAAAACCTTTAAAGGTTTATTATAACGACGACCTTACTTAGGTAGATCATCATTAAATAATAATAATAAACATATGGAGTAATGAGACGAATAAACGACGACGACGACGACGACGGTTGGTAATTAATTCGCACATGATTTTTTTCTCTATTTGCGAATAATGATTCTCTTTTACACGCACGCATGCACGTGTATTTACACACGCACGTGCAAAAATTTTAATCATTTATTAAATCGTTTTAATGATTAACGTGTCTTACATCGTCCCGCAATACCGATTTCCGTTTGTTTTACGCGCGTGAGTTTTGCAAAAAAATTTCTTACGCGAATTCTAGAAATTTCTCTTCGTTAAAATAACTCCAAATGGTTATTATTATTATTATTATCAACCAAAAAAATCCGAGACACTATCAGGAGGCTTTATAACGAGGTCAATTTTATTTGACCTTTTAAAATAATTTTTTTACAAATATAATTTACAATAATTAAATACACAAAAGTAATAAAATACGCATGTAGATAAAACAAACAAACAAACAAAATCGTACCTGATTTACCAAAAAGGTATTTTTTAAATCCACGACTACAAACGGCTACAAACGACGTTCTCTCGTTTGTTTTTAACTGTATGAATATACAGATGTTGTTTGCGTATTTAAAATAGGAAGAAGAGAAAGAAGGAGTATCGTAATAATAATAATAATAATAATCATAACTGTTCAAAGGTCGTCAAGTATTTTATCATTATTATTTCAACTTTTTTTAAGGTTAACTTTTTAGCACACAATGAGAGGTACCGTCCGAGTTCAAAGTTCTTACAATAACCGCCCATTCGGATAACGTTGATACGCATACCATCGTTAAATCTCCAAGTTTTTTCCTACCCGTGAAAACAAATTCACCAGGACCGTGATGAGGTGAACAATGTCTAGGCATGACTAGTTTAACTATTTCCTTTTCTCTTAATTTATTATGACTCGTTTTATTATCATTATCATTATTATCACTAGAATTGACATTTTTTTCCTGCGATTTTATTTTTTTCAAATCTACGTAAGACGTAGGTATTAAATTATTAGTGCTGTACAAATCATCAGTCGAATGCCTGAGAACTTTTGTTATTTTAACATTTATTTCCGCTATTTCTAGTTCCGGTCTCACGTCTATTCCATATATCAATCCTCTAACAACTGTAAAAAAAAGAAAAAAATCATCATTATTATTATTTCGAACTAAAAAAAAAAAAAAATGGGATCGGATTTGTCAAATTTTTTTTTTTGATTTCTTGTTACGATTTCGAGACTTCAAGGATTTCCCGCCATTTTTTTTAAACGATAGTAAATCGCCTTGGCGTTTAAAATTTTTTACGAGGTCGAAAATAACAGGAAATAGAAAGAAAAAAAAGTTGTCGAAAATTCCCGTTTCGAAAAACCAAAAAAAATGACAAACAAACACACAACAAACTAAAACATTCAAAAAAAATTATTCCTCGTTTTTAATTACGTAATCATTATTATTATTATTAATTAATTTTTTTTTTTCGTGACGTATGATCCGATTTCAAAATGTTTTCGTCGTTCGCATAAAAAAGGTTTCAGGTACGCCCACCGATACAAAATAAGAAAAAAATTATCGAATCCGATGATGATATAAATTAAACGCGACGAGATCGCGTGTTGCTATTATTATCATTATTATTTTTTAATAATCGAGGTCATTTTTTTTTCCGAAAAAAAAAAAAATCCAGAACGAATATTACGCAATGCGGCGATATTACGGCATCGTCATGTAAAAATACGACGTACATATGTGCAACCGACAACCAAACAACCCAACAACCCAACAACCGACGACCAATTATGAGACTTTGAGGTGATCAACTTTTTACTTTTATTTTAAATAATAAATATATATATTAATCTCTTTATAAATTATTATTATTATTAATATCAACTTTCATTAACTAACATTATTATCATTATCATTTACGCGCGTAAAATGACCGTTTGGGAAGATTTTTGCTAAGAACAAACAAAATGCAACAACAGCGCAAAAAAAAGAAACTGATAGTGAACGTTTGTTCTTGTTGTTGTTGACGTCATTTTGAAACGGGTTGAAAGAGAGAGAGAGAGAGAGAGGGAAATTCGTACAATACCTGATACTACCTGAAAGGATGAATAATCGAAAGAGGTAGCTCGAACATATGTACCTACAAATAAATATTTCGGGGAAGAAAATGAACCGCATAAAAAACGATCAAATTTCATTTTGGCATTCGAAATAAAGAAAGAAAGAAAAAGAAGGAAAATTAAACACGTATTCCGTACCTGACCACTACCGGATGAAAATTTTCCTTTGTTATGAAATTTTTTTAACCGATTACCCCCCCTCCCCTCCCCTCACATCACCCCCATCCTACCTTCTTTCCTTTCGAGAGTTATCATTATTTACAAATAAGATACGTTTCGGTTAATTGCCGATTATGTTCAATTTTCCCCCCTGCCCCCGGCCTTACCTCCCCCCTCTCGATTTTCTTATAACTTTCATTTGATACCATTTCAAATGTGGAAAAATGAAACCGAAACGTAAATTCCGTGACGTAAATAATAATAATAAAAATGTAACGTAAAACTTTTAACGAACGAATGACTTCAACGGTTTTTTTCTTTTTTACCTGATTAAAAAAAAAAAAAAAATGTCGTAAAAAAATCCCCCCAACAAAGTCAAGTCTCCCCGCCGTAAAAACAAAATCGATATCAATCGATATATTGCGATATATTTCGATATATCGATATTTTAAACCGAATCGAACGAAAATTGAAAACAAACGAAAATAAATTTAAACCGTCGGCATACAAAATTCGACGCCGTTCGTTTATGTTTGAAAAAACGAAAAAAAAGGCGGGAAAATTTATTTTGGCGGGAAAATGATTTTATTTAAAAAACAAACGATAAAAATTGAAATTTTTTTATTTTTTCTATTCGTTCTTCGTAACGTTTTTTTTTTTTTTTTTTTTTTTTTTGCCTCACGAATTCTTTCCTTTTTTTTCGTTTGTGTCCCTCCTTCTCCTACCCCTCTCCCTTCCCCTCCCTTCGTCGAGCCTCCTTCGAAAACTCATTTTTTTTTTTTTTTTAAATAACTTTAAATATTTTATTTAAAATATATAATATATATATCGAGGAACCATTAAGTGCCTCACAATATTCACTGAAACCAATAAGATTATAGATAATTTTTTTTTTAAAAGCATTTTTTTTTTAATACCTTCAAGAGGAGACTTTTTGTTCAGGCATCGTCATTTACGATAGAAAAAAAAGGTGGAGAGAGAGAGATAGAACGAGAGAGAGATGGAAAGAGAGAGAGACAAAAACCTCATCATTATATGCCCTGTTCAGGTTCATTTTTTTTTTTTCTTTCCATTTTAAAAGTTTTTTATGTGCTCCCGCGTGCTCTCAAAAAAAAAATTCTTTAATAATTATCTGATAATGAGATGAAAAAAAAGAAGGTTGCTCCTGCCTCAGAGACATTTTCATTTTTAAAAAAAAGAAATAAATTTTTTTTTAAACATATAAGAAATATTAGTCGTAGTAAATAATAATAATAATAATTTTGACAAATCAATAGAAAATCGATTATTTAAATGTTTGCTTGTGTATTTAAATGAAAAAAAAAAAAAAAAAAAAAAATGAGATCGAGGAGTAATTGTTGTCATGGTCGTCGTCGTCGTCGTCTGCTACTCCTTTGTACCGAATTTAAAAAAAAAAAAAAAAAAATTAATTTGAATTTCTTGTTGTGGGCTTAACCAACCACGAAGGTAGTACACCTTTGATGAATTACAATACCGACAAATAAATCAAAGGATTTTTTTTTTTTCAGGTACGTAAAGAAGAAATTATTTGAATTGTTATTGCATGAAACAAACGAACAAACGGGATTTCCGATTGTGTTTAACTTTTTTTACCATCGTGGCTTTCTGCAATTTTCTGTAATTTTATTCAAGGTTGTTGTTTTCTGTAAAACATTTGTGCCAACGTTCACGTCAAGGATAACAAATCGATATCGTGCCAATAACAAAAATTCAATTTTTATATCCCTTATATAGGGAACTAAAGGTTCCGTTTAAAAATGAAAACAACTCACCTAAATCGTTTGTGCAAAAGGCGTGAGCCATTTCTTGATGAGTGCACGGACGGCATCCATCGTTAATGAGATCATAAACTGATGACCCTTTGGCCACGGGATGAAGATCGTAACTGAAACCCGCGATTTCTTTTTTAAATTCTCCGGATTCGTTAACGGCTTCAACGTAAATTGCAGCTTGTCCTTTTTTACTTTGAAAACACCGTATCATTTGTTTATGTGCTCCATCGTCGAGTGAAAACAATGGCGACAGTGATCTTTTACCTTCTACGAAAAGTCTCGCGCCGGAAAAATCAGGCGTGACTTTTATGCAACCGCGAAATTCTCTTTCGCTGTTTGGCAGTCTTAATAACACCCTGAGAGCTCCTCTCGGATACGTCCACGTTATGTGACCCTGAACACATCTTAGATAAACTGGAGTGACACCCCGACCTTGACTCGGAGACAAACTAAGTCCGCTAAAAATGACAAAAAAAAAATACAAATTTAAATATGGCGACATTTTTTTTTTTTGGATCTCTTGCGTGGGGGGGGGGGTGAAAGTGGAATTAGAAAAAATGTCTGATTTTAAGTCTAATTATGTAATTAACCAATCGTTAAATTTTCTAAAACTAGTTTATTATAAATATTTGTTAATTAAAAAAAAAAAAAATTTATTTATTTATTTATTTTTTATATTTTTTCGATATTAATTTGCTCTAAAATTTTTCTTTTCGAGTCTTTTCCATTAAAATAATATAAAACAAGTTTTCAAAGAGATATATAATATAAAAACGGAAAGTTTCCGTAAGTAAAATTTTTACAACGAATAACACGAAATATTAAATAAAAATTACAAAGTGAAATTTAAATCGACATGAAAAAAAAAGATGGCGAAATCGGAAAATTTTTATTTTTTTTACGTAGGTAGCCTTAAAGTATTATTTTCTTTATTATCCTTTTAAAAAAAAATACATAAAAATAAAATTATCGCAAAGATGACCACACCCTAAAAGGTGGTACCACCGCCATCCAAGGAAAGTCAGCCGCCATCGATTACAAAATTTATTTTAAAAAAAAAAAAAAGGCATTCGTCTGATTAATTGCTAAAGTTTTTCTTTTTTCGTTAAAAAAAAAAAAAATTATAAATGAGATTTACCGTGCCTAAAGTTACAAATAAATAATAATAATAATAATAATGAAAATTTTACCCTTTGGCTATAATATCGCGAGAATTTTTTAAATATATTATATCATCTCTCATATATATATAAATATAAATATGGAATTTAATGGTAATAAAACAACGGGAATAACAAAGTCATAGAGTAAGAAAACGAAAAAAAAAAAAAAAGTTCAAACACGGATTTGTGTATTATAATATGAAACAACAACAACAACAACAAAAAATCCCTCCGGGATTTCTATTTATGGTTTAACGAGTACCTGAACGAGTAAAGGTATATAAAAATCTACGTTTTTTTTTTTATGGTTAAAAATATTTCCAGGATTACCTTAAGTAGTTATTTCCAATTTAAAAAAAAAAAAAAAACCTCAGAACTAAAACCTTTTGACGCCATTTTTGCCGGTTTTTATTTTTTCTTTTTTCCTCGTCTACGATTATTATTATTTTTTTCCCCCCTTTAAGATTCGAATCAATAAATCATTATTATTATTTAAAATATATATATATATTAAATACAAATCATTTTTTATATTTTGTTAAATTAAATTCAAAAAATATTATTATAGAATTTAAAGAGAAAGAAGGAATTTAATATCGAGATTACATTAGTTAGTTGATCGCCATTTTTTTTTTTTTAACTCGTACTCACAACATTATAATACTCGTCAAGAAGGAAAAGAAGAAGAAGAAAATGGTTTCTCTTTCTTTCCTTCAACACTAAAAACGACTTAAAACATGTAATTAAAAATAATATGTTTTAATGTAATGCAACAACTAAAAGAAATAAAATGAAAATGTTGTTGGTAATGTTTGGAAAGTCATTCGATAGAACAAAAAAAAGCGGTTACGCAACGTAATAATAATAAATTTAACTCTGTTACCGTTTTTACTTATAAAAAAAATTATCTTCCTCCCTCTTTTCCTCCCTCCCCCCCCTATCCGCCCTTCCTTAATTAATTATTATTTTTCTCTGATGATTATTAATAATAAAAAACTGTTTGGATTTTTTATTAGTAAATCGTAAAAAATGGCGCACAAAAAAAAAAAACAATCAGGTTTGAATTTTTGTTTCAAAACTATTAAAAAATTACAAACGGGTAATAAATCGGGAAAAATTGTTTCAAAACATTTAAAAAACTATTCGAAAAAAAATGCATAACATAACATAATAATTTCAACGAACAGAAGCATAGAATATTATTATTTTTACGAGACCGTAAAAATAAATTTTAAAAAACATTAAAACGTAGTAGTAGTAAGAGAAATCATCTCTCTCTCTCTCTCTCTTAGATGATTTTTGTTTTTTTTTTTTAGTTACCGGAATGATAATAATAATAATAATAAAGCGAAACGTAAAAAAAAACCGTCCAACGAACGACATGCGCCATTTTTTTTTCTTTATTCCTTCCAGGTAAATTTAAAACGTACAAAAAAAAAAAAAAAACTTTAATCTTTCGGATTACTACTACGTTCTCTCTCTCTCTCTCTTTTCCATTTAAAACTAGACTTGGAGAAATTCCAGAGCTAATTCTATAGACCCTAATTAAAATTTCGTAGGTATGTTTGAAAAAAAGTTTTTTATTTTATTTTCTCTTTGTCTTTAGGTATGAAAAACTATTGTCAGAAGATTGTTAATAATAATTTTTTCTTTTATCAGCATCTCAAAGGATCAAACTTTTATTCCATTTTTTTTAATAAGAAATCATAGTACAAACATTAATCAAATTTTTAACGTATTGAATAATAAAAAAATTACAAAAGCACGCGACGACGACGACGACGATTCATTTATAAAACGATAATTTATCGACTAAAAAAAATTTAAATGATTTATAACATTTATTACCTGTATAAGTAAATTGTTTAATAAAAAATCCCGAATTTGATTTTAAAATCGAGACAGAAATTTATTTAAAATAAGTTTAAATATTCCGTAGACAAATAAATAAATAAATAAATAAATTTGCAAACCGTTTATATAAACGTAAATTAATCATTTTTCCCCCCTTGTAAAAAATTTACGCTCTAAAATGCCTACGAATAAAAAAACAAAAAATAAAAAAATTTACGCTGTAAAATACCTACGAATAAAAATAAAATAAAAATTGGATTTAGTTTTAAAAGCGCGACTTTTTTTTCCCCCCCCCCCTTTTAAATTTATTGAATTTTTATCAAAACGTAATAAAAAAAAAAACTCCGTAATAATAATAATAATAATAATAATAATAATAATGATAATAATAATAATAATATTGATAATAATAATAATAATATAATATTTTTTACGAAATTGAAATTTTTATAATTTTTAAACGCCTCGCGATAATATAAATTTTTTTTTTTTTTGTGGTATAAAAAAATTATTAAATTCGACCTTAAGGTATTAGAAAACGCCTCGGCACGGTTACTTTTTTTTTTTTTAAATTTTATATTATAACGTAAAATAATAATAATAAAAATAATAATAAAATAAATAACGCGTGCCTATGAAAAAAAAATCAAGGTAAATATACAAAAAAAAAAAAACCAGTTCACATTCACCCAACACTTGGCAATTTTCAAAGACGTTTAACGAAAGCAGTCGACCAACACCACACCCAAGTTTTTTTTTTTATATTCAATATCAGCATCTAAATCCCAGACGTAATCCTCTCATAAAGCACTTTTTCAATTTTCTCGGCTGTATATGGTAAAAAATAATAATAATAATAATAAAAAAGGAAACGGAAACCTTTTACGAAAAAAAAAAAACCTTGCATAAAAATCGCCAATGTTGTTTTCTTTTTTCCGATCCGAATGCCCCGCGAAATAAATTTTCCATAATGATAAGATAATAATAATACGAAAACGATAAAAATAAAAAAAGTGGGGGTGGGGGGCATGCATTAACAAGGTCTCATTGCTGAAGTTAAGGCGACCACTAAAATAATAACAATCCAAACCATTTGGGATTCGGTCGGTATGTTAAGTGAAGGCGGGGGAGGGGAGGGAGGGAGGGGATAAAAAGGAGAACATTAAAATAGGAGCCGAGAAAAAAAAAATGTTCAGAATATAATAATAATAATTCATCTACCTGATGCCTTAAAGCCACGATGATGATTCATTCAAATCAAAAAAAAAAAAAAAAAAACATTTTCATATCCATCATCAACAAACGTATCGTATCTGTATCATTTCAAATGTATAAACATACAAACCTAAAAACTCCTCCCCGTCCTCCCTTCAATTTTATTACTACCTCCCCACCACCATCCCCCTAAAAAACCTTTCGACGATGAAAGCACGAAAAAAAAATAAAAATAATTTTACTCACGTCGAAACGTGACGAAACGGAAATAAAAAAAATTTTTTTTTTTAACTTTTTCCTGGAGAAAGTAATGTAAATAATAATAATAATAATAACGGTTTCGATAAACTTTCTCACAGGAAAAAACAAAAACAAAACAAATCGAACTCGAAGCAATAAATTTACATTATTAATCATTTGGAAAAGTAAAAAAAAAAAAAAAATAAATAAATTGGTTTGAAATGAAAGCCCCATCATCGTTTACAAAAAAAAATTCAATAATTTACATTAAATAATAATAATAATAATATTATGTGTAATGATAGGCGAACTGACATTTTGCACAAAAACACGTTCGTAAAAAATAATAATAAATTATTAAAAAAAAAAAAAAAAGTTTTATTATTAGAATCTGAATAATAAATTTTGTAAAAAAAAAAAAAAAATCGAAAACGAACAAAACAAAACAAGTTTAACATAAAAAAAATATTTATTAACCCGCGGTATGAACAACAACAACGACAAACAACAACAACAAAGACGACGACTTAAAGGCTACTTTATTATTATTTTTTTAAAATTCCAAATCAAACGTAAATCACATTAAACAATTTCATTTCCGGTTTAAACAAATAACCCTCATCCCCAAATTCAAAATACTTTAATACAAAATTTCATCCGATTCTATGACTTCATTTCAAAATAATAATGGCTGACGTTCATCCATTTGTAATTATTATTATTTAAGTGCAAGATAAAAATTCGAGGACAATAATTTTTTTTTTAAAAACTACTACTTTAATCGAAATTAAAAGAAATGCCATTAATGAAAAAGAAAAAGGTACAGTTACCAAGGGCACAGGCACACACACAACCGTGCAATTTTAAAAAAGCAGACGAAAAAAAAAAAGGAAAGAAAGAAAATTTCAAGTTGGACGCATTAATTACCACCATCACCACCACCACCACTACCACTACCATCAGGTTGAACCTTGTCGAGTACTTTTAAATGCATCTCTTTTAAATGCATCATCACGACGTACGAACAAGA